CACATTATGTGCGACTTGGTCAAATTGGTCAAAGGTTTGTTTTGCCATCTTCATTTACTGGTAGTCCTAGACATATGTTTGAAATCTTTCAAGATTCAATGGCTATCATGCGATACAACCAACACCCAGATATTTTTCTTACCATCACTGCAAACCCTAATTGGCTAGAAATTACTTCAGCATTATTATCATATCAAAAACCTATTGATTATCCTGATTTAATTGCCCGTGTTTTTGAGTTGAAGAGAAAATGTTTGATGAAGGAGATAGAAGCAAATAAAGTGTTTGGAAATAAAGTTGCACATGTTTTTACAATTGAATTTCAAAAACGAGGCCTCCCCCATATGCATGCACTTTTATTTTTTAAGGGTCCAGACAAAATTCGAACATGTGCTCAAGTAGACAAATTGGTTTGTGCAGAATTTCCAGACCCAAAAGATGATCCTCTACTTTTTGAAACTGTCAAATGCTGTATCGTACATGGACCGTGTGGTGCTCAAAATCCGCATGCACCATGTATGGAAAATGGTAGATGCAATAAGAGATACCCTTGAGCTTTCACAGAAACAACAACTATGGATCAAGATGGATACCCCATCTATCGTCGTCGCAATAATGGCCAAGTACATACTATGAGGGGGCAAGAAGTTGATAACAGGGATGTCGTACCATACAATGCATATCTTTCAAAACTTTTCAACTGTCATATAAATGTGGAAGTTTGTGCCGGAATGAGATGTGTCAAGTATATACATAAGTACATTTATAAGGGTTATGATCGTACAACGATGGTGTTAGGAATGATAAATGAGATTCAACAATATCTCGATACATGGTATATTGGACCTCCAAAAGCTGCTTGGCGAATATTTGGTTATCCTTTGCATACAGAGATGCCAACAGTTGTACGATTGGCACTTCATTTACCTGGAATGCATCGCGTTGTTTTTAAACCCAGAAAGGTCATTAGAAAAACGATTTCATCTATCTAGAGCTGGGTGCAACATAATGGTCCCTTAACTCTTACGGGCTTCTTTGGCATTATTTTGTGCTGGCCATGTGGAAGATGTGAATGTCCATGCATCTTATTCAAAATTTCCAAAGCATTTTATGGCCTTCAAATCAGAAGAAAAGAGATGGAAATTCAAGAGAAACGAGGATATGCAGTTGGTAGAATGTACTTTGCCAGTCCTAATTGTGGTGAAAGATTTTATCTGCGTTTGTTACTAACTGTTGTCAAAGGACCAAAGTCATTTCGGTCTTTACGCACGGTCGATAATGTTGTGTATGATACATTTAAATTAGCATGTGTTGCAAGGGGGCTTTTAGAAGATGATGAAGAATGGATACAATGCTTGAAAGAGGTTGCAGTTATGAAAACTGGATACCAATTGAGGAGATTGTTTAGTGTTATTCTCACCCAGTGCTCTCCACTAAATCCATGTGCATTATGGAATCAATTCTCTATGCATATATGTGATGATCTTGCACATAAGATTCGAACATTGTTTGCCATTTCTGAACCAACTGAGGCTCAAATTGAAGACTATGGTCTGTATCTTTTGAATCAAATGCTCCAAGAATCAGGAAAAAGTTTAATTGACTTCCTGCCAATGCCACAACGTTCTACAAATTGGAGTGTAGTAGTTGGTAATAGATTGATATTCGAACATCAACAACTGCAGAATGAGGCACAATAGGCAGATCCAGAAATTACTATTGATTGTCTCAACAATGGACAACAGAATGCTTATAACACAATCACTTCTTCAATTTTTCAAAATAAAGGAACTGTTTTCTTTCTTAATGGAGGTGTTGGAATAGGGAAAACATTTATGTACAATACGATTGCATTAAAATGTCGTAGCCTTGGGCATATCGTTGTTACTGTGGCTTCATCTAGAATTGCATCATTGTTATTGGTAGGAGGTCGCACTGCACATTCAACATTTTTCATTTCGTTAGATGTCTTGGAAAATTCACTTTGTGGTTTACCAAACAATCATTACAAGCTGAGTTGTTTAGAGAAACAAAACTCATAATTTAGAATGAAGTTCCTATGCAACATAGACATTGTGTTGAGGCGGTTGATCATACATTGAGGGATATTCGTGATAGTGAAAAGCCATTTGGGGGTATTACTGTTGTTCTTGGTGGAGACTTTCGACAAATCTTACCAGTTATACCCAAAGGAATTCGTGAGCAAACTGTGAATGCATCATTAAGACACTCTATTCTATGGAAGCATATACATAACTTAACTTTGGATTTGAATATGCGCTTGAATCATGGAGACCATGAAAATGCTATTTTTGCAAATTTCTTGATGGAGGTAACACTACTTTAACATTTTTCTTTATTATATAGATTATTTTAAATTAATAAATTGTGTTTACACTCATATTTTTTTTAATTGATTTCACTTTTTTTAAATTGGGACTAATCCTCAAGAAATCATCAACCTTCCATCAACAATACACAAATGTCAAGATTTGAATGAATTGCCCTCTATAGCTTACCCACAGTTGAATATGATAGAGACGTCAACCCCAACATTTTTAACTGAACGCACCATTCTATCTGCGCGTAACGATGATGTCAGTGACATTAATACTACTGTGTTGAATATCTTTTCAGGGAGATTATATACTTATTTTGCAGCAGATAAAATGTCTGAAGATAATGAAATTGATCTTACCATAACAAATAGATATCCTAATGAATATTTAAATTCATTGGATCCTCCCGGGCTACCAACTTTTAAGTTAGAGTTCAAAGTGGGTTGTCCTATAATATTGTTAAGAAATATTGCACCGAAAGATGGACTATGTAATGGTACAAGATTGTTGGTTACTAGGTGTGACACTCGCATAATTGAAACTCAAATTTTAACTGGAGAAAAGTTTGGCAATTTGACATTCATACCAAGGATATCTTTGACACCATCTTCTTCAGAAATGCCTTTCCAAATGACAAGACGTCAATTTCCAGTCCGATTAGCATATGCCTTGACCATTAATAAATCTCAAGGACAATCTGTGAAATTTGTTGGAGTTGATTTGCGCATACCAGTGTTTAGCCATGGCCAATTATATGTGGCATTGTCCAGATGTACATCCTTTGATCGTATAAGTATTCTCCTCCCTAAAGATAATTTGGATTCTACTACAAATATTGTTTATCCTAAA